TTCAGCAGCACTTCATAACCAACAATGAATAATCATATATATCATAATGTTAATTTACAAAATCAATCATCATAGTACACTGGTCATAATTTGTCTGGTGCTAAAACAGTTATGTGGACATAAAGGATCTATATTCATAGCTTACTGGTTTTTATTTCTTTTGCTTAAAAATCTGAATATACTCAACAACAACTGTAACCTAGTTAGTTAAAAAAATATTTCTGAGTATTTCCCCGGCACATTTCTACATCTGTGGCCTCCCAGAATATGAAAGGCACCAGGCCCAGATGGTGTGACCCCCTCCTGCTTGAAAGTGTGTGCTGATCAGCTGGCCCCCATCTTCACACTCATCTTCAACAGGTCACTGGAGCTGTGTGAAGTCCCCTCCTGCTTGAAATGCTCCACCATCATTCCAGTCCCCAAGAAACCCCCCATCAGTGGACTGAACGACTACAGACCTGTCGCCCTGACATCTGTAGTTATGAAGTCCTTTGAAAGACTGGTATTGGCCCACCTGAAGGACACCGTAGACCCCCTGCTAGACCCCCTGCAGTTCGCCTACCGGGCAAACAGGTCAGTGGGCGATGCAATTAACATGGCACTACATTACATCGTGCAACACCTCGACTCCCCAGGGACCTATGCACGGGCCCTCTTTGTGGACTTTCAGCTCAGCATTCAACACCATCATCCCGGACATCCTCCACTCCAAACTGACCCAGTTCACTGTGCCTGCCCCCACCTGTCAGTGGATTACAAGCTTTCTGAGAGACAGGAAGCAGCAGGTAAGGTTGGGGAAAACCACATCCAGCGCCCGGACAATAAGCACAGGCGCCCCCCAGGGATGTGTGCTCTCCCCTCTGCTGTTTTCACTCTGCACCAACAACTGCATCTCGAAGGACCCCTCTGTCAAGCTCCTTAAGTTTGCAACCTGGAGTTGAACACGGTCAAAACAGTGGAGATACAGTGGACTTCAGTAAGAGCCCTCCCACCTTACCCCCCCTCACCATACTTGGCAGCACTGTATCAGCAGTAAAATCCTACAAGTTCCTGGGCTCCACTATCTCCCAGGACCTGAAGTGCACGTCCAACATCAGGACCATCATCAAGAAGGCACAGCAGAGGATGTACTTCCTGCGCCAGCTCAGGAAGTTCGACCTGCCCCAGGAGCTGCTGATACAGTTCTACAGAGGAATCACTGAGTCTGTTCTCTGCACCTCCATCACTGTCTGGTTTGGCTCAGCAACCAAACAGGACAAATACAGACTTCAGCGGACAGTGAGGACTGCAGAGAAGGTCACTGGTTCAAGCCTGCCCTACATAGAGGACCTGTACACCTCATAGGTCAAAAGTAGGGTGGAGAGGATCACTGCAGACCCCTCACACCCAGGACATAATCTGTTTGAACTCCTCCCTTCTGGACGGCGTTACAGGTCACTGTGCACCAAGACAACCAGGCACCGGAACAGTTTCTTCCCCCTGGCTGTCACTCTGATGAACACTTAACCAATGACCATATGATTGGACCATAAACCTCAGTGCAATACCTGTATATATACATTGTACAGATTATACAGACTCCTACAGGACTCTAGTACTCTGTTTTAAGTACTCTATTTTGTGTGTCCAACACACCTGGCCAATAAAGCAGATTCTGAAATTCACTTAAAAAAAAAAGGAGCAGCTACACACCTGGGTTGCCATCACACCTGGCCAATAAAGCAGATTCTGATTCTGAAATACTATTTGAAGTGATGGTGGCACATCTGTCCATAATTAAGTGTCTGTGTGTGCACACTTACTGGTGAACATGAGACTAAAGAAGTGGCTAGCAGCAGCTAACACTACTCTATGAGCAGGAAAGTGTTTCCCCTGAACCACCAGGGTCACATCACAGAGGGTACCCTGAAGAAAACAAGCACACACAGTTATCAAGTGTCAAAACAGAGTGGGAAATACATTATCAAAGCTGTGTACACGTACATAAAACACAAAAAGTCTCCGTGGGAGACGGACAGCCTTGTCTTTTTATTTAGTGTCCTCCCTAACACACTCACACACCTGTTTCCTCAGGGTGTTCATGACTCCCATAATGCTGGATAGCTGTCTGTACTCCTCTTTGGTGGCACATTTCCTCTCGCTTTTCTTCTTGGAGCTGGACCCTTTCTCTGGAGAAGCCATCCCCGTCATGTCAGCCAGATTAATGCTATCTGTTTAGTGAAATTAAACAACAAATTCAAAAGCCACTGCAAACAGTGTGTGTAGCTAACAATCTCTTTGTTGTCGCTCAGCCACTGACAGTTGGCTAAATGTTAATAGAAAAGAGTATCATGTTGTGATTTTAAGAACTAAAACAAGGCTGTTTGGTGGCAGCTTTTCCCTGAAAGCCAGCCGAGAGAAAATCATAAAAATGAATTTGATGCCAGGTGTTGAAATAAACCCGGTTAGCGCCGTGTATGTAAAACTCAAAGTCTAGTTAGCCGTTATTGTGGTTTCCTTCTTCTTCTGTGGTTTGCTTATGCTTGAACATAACTCACGGTCACCCCCTCTACCGACAGAGGTCGCGAATTACACACTACCCTGCAGGATCGCACAGCTGATTACTACAGTTTGTATATACGGGAAATTTTCAGGAGAAAAGACACATTAGCGGTTTTTGTGTCTTGAAATACACATTTCTATATATATCTAATCAATATACTCGTGCAGTTAGTATTGCAGCATTTAGCTTAGCCTATCTCGTTCCATTTCACCTGTAGCTAGGTATGTGTACCTGCCTGTTTGTCACGTTCATATTTCTACACTAATCCTTAAAACATCAGGAAGTCGCATGACGCTGATGTCAGCGGAATGCGGGCTACAAAACAAATGCATGCTGTCAGCAATAACTGACCTGAAAACAAACTGTGAGACATCAGAGTTGAAGAAAATGCATCGTTTTCTCTGCTGTTGGTGCTTCTCTTGTGAAAACTCCGGCAACGAGGTAGGGTATGTGATTATGCTTCACTGAGTGTTATGATAATGTTAATATGGCAATATTTCCTTCGAGTTCTGACGAGAAACTTGATTACTGTTTTGCTTCAGTAAAGTTACTCGATTAACCCATACTAGTCTATCTGAATATAAAAAGGGTCTCTTTATAAATCTTTTCAACTATACCGTGCTACACAGGAAAACAGTCCTCATAAAAAAGACGTTATACATTTTTTTTCCTTGTGTCAAAAAAGTGCAGAGATGAAACATGAGCATGAGACACTAAAATGAGTAAGACAAAGTTTTTTTTTAAATGTCAAATATAAATGCTGGGTTAGCTGAATTGATGTGTATATTAATGTTTTATGTGTATTTTGACCATGTTTTTGGATTATATATAATGAAAACTCTGCTATTTCAGAGGCAGCCTCTTTTGCAGCCCAGACCTGACCTGAATGGAGCTAGATCAGCCAGGCAGACATCACCAGCATCCAGTGCGACATTATCTCTCTTAATGATTATATGTTTGTGTTTTAAACCCATACACTTCTAGTGCATCAAACTATGGATCAGTTTGTCTTTGCTGCATGAGTTCTTTTGTGTATCTGTGATATATTTATTTCCCCCAGAAGCACAGACTGTAAAGCGAATCGGCAGGCTGGTGATGAGACGTGTGTGTGTACCAGAGTTGGACAAGAGGTTTTCTGACATGGCTGAGACCTTCAATGAGCAGCAAGCGTGCTATGAGGCCATGGTTGAACACATCAGCAACCTACAACAAGCCTACGGTTGTGCCCACAGTGACACCCTGTCTTTTGCTGAATGTGTGGGGAAGATCAGAGAGGAGCACAGTGAGTGACACTCAGAGCTCAAATTATTCAGTTTCCTGTTTCTGTTTTCTTCTTTTTTAATCTTTATCTCTGTCTCTGTCGCTACATCCAGAAGCCACACACAGGGTCTACTTTAGAATTAAAGGCTATGACTTCTCCCTCAGTGTGGTTCCTGTGGAGTTAGAGGGCAACAGTGAGGAGGAACCACTGCCTCCACTTCTGCAGTTGGCTCAGAATGAAATGAGGGGCACATCTCAGAGTGCCAAGGCCACCGTATCTAAGGGTACCACACTTCAAGAGCTGGCTGGCTGGCTGCTCCGTAGCAGTGATCGAATGACTAAGCAAGTGCAGGAAGTAGCATCATCTCACCAGGAGCAAGGAAGACTCATTGTGAACCTGGAGGAAAACATGAGGGAAGTGAGTAGGGCGAAGGATTTGTCGGCAGACTACAGAAAACAAGCTGGAGAAGTCCTTTCTGAGGCTGCACAGATTGCAGGGCCTCTTTTGTAGCTGGTTTATAAACATTTTAAATGCTTTAATTGATTCCACAAATTGCATTTAAATAAGAGCGGTATTGTTGCCAGATGGTTAGTGCTGTCACCTCACAACAAGAAGGTTCCGTGTTTAAGCCTCAACTGACCTGGTCCCTTTCTGTGCATGTTCATGTCCCTGTGCCTGCATGGGTTCTCTCTGGGTACTCCTGCTTCCTCCCACCGTCCAAAGAAATGCAACTTAGGCTGACTGGTGACTCTAAATTACCCATAGGAGAGTATGGTTGTCTAAGTGTCAGCCCTGTGATAGACTGGCAACATGTCCAGGGTATACCCTGCCTCTCGTCTAATGTCAGCTGGGATTGGCTCCCCCCGCAGCCCTCTTCAGGATAAGCAGTATAGCTAATGGATGGATGGACTTTTTAATAGGCCTAAGATTCAAATATTTACAAAGATTATACCCACTCTTTTAACACTTGTGGGTAGGGAAACACATCATGTCACACAGTCAGACTACTGTTATAGCTCAGACAGAATAAAATTTTGCTCAATGTGCAGCTCCTTTTCTTGGTAAACAGTTGCAAACTACTGTCAATTTGTGAACATGGACAAAGCTACCAAATATCAGTGTCAATAATCTGTATTCATATCCTAGCATTTGCTTCAACATGGGAAATCTTAGAAACACACAATGTTGTGCATGGTATACTTTTTCAGTGCTTAGGGGGCTTTTCATTTGCTGGCTTACAAGGATATAAAGACTCATATCTGCTTTTTATACTTTATTAACATTGTAATAAAAATAGCAAACAGTACTGTCTAAAGAAATTTTCCATGTGTCATTTTTTAAGCCAACATTAGGGGGCATTGCAGACTCACTTTAGTATTAGTATTCTAACAGTTACTCTGCAAATTATACTCCTTGTTCCTTCCTTTTCACAGAAATTGCACTTTGTGGGTTAAAATTCCTGAAATCACATACTCAGGTCTCAAAACAATAAATGTATCACTATTTTTTAAAGAATTTTGTGCCTGATTAGACATTTAGATTGTTGCAAAAGCATGGCCTAGATAAAGACTGTTCTTGCCAAATGCAAGAGTATTGAGGCTGATAACTGCACTGGATTGTTATTGATATATAATTCACTGAAGGAACACCACAGGACACAATCTCCTAGCAATAATAAGAACTGAACTGGGGATTTGCTGTGATTGTTAGTGTACTTATGTTTTGTAACAATCAGACTAAACAGATTTGCTGCTTATTATCAACAAAAGCTCCACTGCATTTATTAATTGTTTAAAAACTGTAGCTTTCCAGCTTTTATTAATATGAAAGCAAGTCTCCATCATTAATATTGGAAAATCCATTGTTCCAGAGATCATTATCAAGCAGTCAAATGTTGTTTAACAGTTTTAGAGTACTGTTTTATAGCATTGTAGATTAACTTGGCATGAAATGTGTATGGTGGGTATGGGTTAATCTGAGAACACAGAGTTAGTATCTAAATGAAAACGTTTTGTAAATAAATAAACAAAAAATGTAGTAAAAAATATTGCTGGTGTTTAATGCAAGCAACTTATACTAATTATGTCCTTAATGACTTTGACTCTGCTCCAATGTTAGTGCGGCAAAACAATTAAAAGAAATTTGATTAGCCCATGTTCACAGTAAAAAATTTAAATATTATGTATTTGTATTAAATGAATGGAAGGCAAAGTAACTAATTACTAAACGTTGTTTAATTGCAAGGTATATGCTGAAGTATATTACAAACTGCCAATAAATAACTTATATAAATAATTTACTTATAGCTCCTGTGGGAGATCATTGCTGTCAAAGGGTAATGACTGAAGCGACAATCTACCATGTTCGTGGAAATTATTAACATGGAGTCTAGTGTCTAATTTGATTGGGTGTTACATTTAGGGGCGTGGCAGTTAGAATATATACTGCTTTCTCATTGGTTGTCCGTCTGTCACTCTGTGGAGACCGAGTTCTCTCGTTTAAGGTAGTATGAGTGGAGAAAGTAATGAAGATGGAAGGAGCTGATATTGATGAATTATTGAGGAGATATATGAAATAGCGAAGTGATAGCTTTTTACTGGTCTTGTCGGAACGATAGAGGGCAGCGATATCAGGAAGTTGACAGATAGCATGCCAGTAAGTACCGTAACTTCCCCGATTTACTTGGTATCGCGCCTTATATGAGCTAGCTAACTAGCTAATCTAAGCAACCGTAATGTTAGTGACAGCTCGAAGTCGTTCAGCAAGCGAAGGTAGAGAGTCTGGGACGGGGGGGATTCATTTACAGTTTGCAGCTAATACTGTTTAGCAAATGCACTGAATTATGTGGCTGGGAAAGCAACTGTTTGCCATTGAAGCTCCAGTACATTGAGACAGATTTTCAGGTTTTAACACAAGCTGTGTTACGTTAAGCTACTAGTTGCAAGTACGGCAAACGAACAGGTATTACCAGTTAAATCAGCTAAATAACATGAACTAAAACAGCAGTCAAAACGGGAAGGCTTTGCTATTCGTTAATCTAGCGAGCTACTGTCGTAGGCTTAGTTACATCTGTCATAACGACAGACTTTGTACCTTTATTTTGTTTAACAACTGTGTATGTGTGGTCTGTCAGGACCTTTAAGAGACATGTAGATTCTTCAGGTGATCTCTCTCTCTCTCTCTCTCACTCACTCAGACAGAGACAAAGAGCTTATCGGCCACTGTAATGTGTTGTTAGGGTTTTTCCTCATAGCTATCATGTTATGCAGCTTTAGCCAGCTGAGGGGTTTCCTCTGTGAGGGGGAACAGTATGCAGTTTATCGCGAAGCCCCATGTCAGTATGTACAAACGGTCTGCTATATTTTTCATGGAGTGGCTTGCTGTTTTAAAATGGACTGGTTTGTTGAGTGAGCGTTTGCACACTGTTAAAGTTGTATAGTTGGAATGTGGCTGTGTGTGAGTGTATGTGAAAAAAGCATGCACAGGCTTTGTTAATGTGTGGCTGTTGGCGTCTCATGTCTCTTAATGGTTCATGGCAGTGATGCCCGGCAGGTCATGTAGCAACAAGATCGTGCTGCTCTGCTCTCATTCAGTGTCACATAGTCACAGCTTCATGAGCAGTTTGAACAATGAAAACTGTAAAGGCTACACCTACTTAATACAAGCACAGCACAGGTGACATATCAGTGCTGATTTTCCCTGCAAAAATATACTGTTGAAGGCATAGATACTATTAGATGTAGCATCCCTTTATCTCAATGAAAAAATCTTGGAAATCAAGATGATTATCTGCACCAGAAGTGGGTATCTGTGACATTCTAGGGCTGAACACTAACAGATTATGAGAGCCATCTCAAATTGTGATGTGAAAAGCTGCTCACTGTGAGAGAAAGAGAAAGAGAGAAAGACAAATGGAAAGTAAACGGGGAGATAAGTGTTTCAATAAAAAAAAAAACCCACAGTGGTCACTACAATCACAAGTCACTTCAGGTTAACACGCTGCAGGTAGATGGGGAATTGGAGGGACGAGAGGAGGGAGTAAGATGCATTGGAGGCTGCTGTAAGAGGTTTCCTCCCTCTCAGATCTTTCAGCAGCAAAAACCACATGCGCAAACCACAGACTCTGTTGTCATATCTGCTTAGTTACAGGCAGCTCTGTACTATAAACTGTATGTGTTTGTCCAAATGTGAAACAAAATGGAAACAGAAATGCCCCCCCCACACACACACACACACAACACAAATAGTCCTGAGCCTTTTTTCACACTGATCGTGTGAAAAAAGATGTGATATAAACTGAGGAACAATATTAAAATGTGTAACATATTTAGCAGGACATGTTAGAGGCTCTGCTCTTAATGGCCACCATTATATAACCCTGCCTTGTCCACACCACTGCTCCTCAAATTAAATCCTTAACAGATTTTTTTTTTCCCCATTCAAGATGAAACAAGTTTGTACTGTGATTACCGGTTCTGCTGGTTGACATTTGACAACTGAGCTAGTTTAGTGATTTTGGGTGGGTTTCTGTTCCTGGTTCTGACTTTGATTAGCATAGTTTTAATGGTCTGGGTCTGAACAAGAGCTGTCAGCTCAGGGTACTTTAGCTAGTTTGGATTAATTTGAGCTTGTCTGATCTGTTTTATAACTCCTCATCTTTCTGTAGTTTCGGTTCTTTGAGGATTTTGTAACCAGTGTTATGTGTAGCTTCCACCCTGTACCACAGGAAAAAGCAGCTGGGGCAGCTCTGACTCTTGTCAAAACCACCCACTTTGTCTTCCTCTCTGCTCCCTTTCTCTCCTTCATTAAAGTCTTCATTCTTATTGGCCCACCCACTTCCTGAAAAAAAAAAAAGGTTCCAAAGCATGTGTGTAATAGGAAATGAGGCACTCAGCTGGGATTTGAATGTGTGTTGTTAGCTGCCTCCCTAATTCATTCTCACTTGGACTCCCTGCAATTCTCTCTTTGCCAGCTTTTCCAGACAGGTGCGTTCTCACGTTACTACTGAGCACAGGAGAACAGTTTTTCATGGATTTGATAGCGATGATTGCCTTTGGTTTTTTTTAATAGTCTGTGTGTTTGTCTCAGGTGTTTTATGTAACTGTGCTTGGATATGCAAGCACACTTGCAGCAAAGATTAGGAATGTAAATTCAGCAGTGACCTGTTTGTTTTAGGTGTCTTTAGAGGGAGGAGTCACAAATAAGGTCTTTTAGATTGCCAAGACTGTGTGTGTGTGTGTGTGTGTGTGTGTGTGCGTAGTCAGAGAGAATGATCTGTCAGCTTTAGCTAGCTCACAGGAACAGGTTTTGTCAAACTAGACATTGAGTAAACACATTTGCACACACACTTGTGCAATGCCTGACACGTTCTCTGTTACTTTTTGACAAGTCGTTTGCTCCATCAGAGCTTTGCATTGATGGAAAAACTCAGGAAGCCATAGCTACTAAAAACATTTTAGACTCATTTCTTGAGCTTCTTTAAAGTAATGTGTGTGTGTGTGTGTGTGTGTGTGTGTGTGTGTGTGTTCAACTCTTTTCATATGCCTCAAAGCCTGTGGGGATGCCAGGGACAGTGCAGATTGAAACCCAGTGAACACTCCTCTTTTATCCTTCTCTGGTATTATTCAGCTCTTGGGTTATCGTACATTCCTTTTATTCCTCACCTCCATTTATGTCTCTCTTTATTCATTTAGCCATTGATCTTCTCTGATCATTCTCCTGCTCTGCCTGTCTGTCTTCATCACTTTATTAGTTTGTTACTTGGCAAGCCTGCTCAGTCACTTATCAGCAACACTGGCTTATTCACATATATATATATATATGTATGTATGTGTGTGTGTGTGTGTGTGGCATGAGCAGCACAGAAGCAGCTCACCAGCTGCTGTATCATTTGTACAAGTGTGCTCATATTGATTTGTCATGATTTATTTGTCCATAAAATGACAGAGATGGCTCAGAAGTCAGCCAGACGGAGGCAAGCATTTGCCTAATAACATAATTACACTCAATAGCGTGATCCTAGGGCCATTAGTTTGTTTTCCTCCACCAGCTGCTTGTGCTGTTCTGCATGTGTTAATACAGCCTAGAAGAATTTGACACATGGTTTGTACCACCCTCCCTCGGGATTTGAATGCAGACACAATAAATAATTGAGCAAATAATCTGTAAATTGAAGGTGCCCTATGGAGGCTTATTGTAAACAAAAAAAGTTCTTTTTATACCTATTCACCAAAATGTATTGTGTAGCCTTGATGCATAACAAACCTGTTAAATGTATTTCCTTTGCTTTTTTTGAACATTTTGACACCCGTGTTGTTGACATCCATGTTCGTTTGCTAGCAGTCTGCTCCTTCACGGCCTATTTTGACACACTGCTCTGTTTCTTCATATTGCTTCCACCTGTAGTTTTTTGCACTCTGTTTTTATTTGTGTACCTAGTGAAATTATTTTAAAGGTGCCCTTTAATTTATAAGTTTAGTTACTTTGTACCCACCTCTGCTTTCTACTGTTGTGCATGTGTCACTGCAGTTTTCACTGTTTGCTGCTGAGATAGAAGGCAAATAGACCGCATAGGTAGGTGGCATTGCAGATGACTGCTGATTTTAGTCTTCAAATAATATAGCTTTTTCTGAATACAGATGTTGCAGATGACATGCTCCACATGCCAGCGAGCAGACAGAGTTGACAGGTTAAAAGTGATTCAGTAGGAGGAGAACCCGTCCTCTTACAGGACTGACTCATCCACATTAATCACAGCGTTTATATATTTATTTTTATTCTGCCAGTCAGCCTGCCATTAAAACACACATGCTGGCTCTAGATATCACTGTCATTAAAGACTAATTTCTCTAAATGGAGGCTATTCTGCTTTATAATCCTTCCCCTTTTCATGAGACACTGGCTTCCCTCCCTTCTTGTCATTCCGGTCATTGGTGCAGTCCATAAATAGACACCTGGCTACCATGGAGGGGCCAAGCTCCAGCATTAAAACATTATAAAGCATTTGGATGCGTGAAAGACAGATTAGGTGGCAGGGAAGATGGGAAGTGAAAAAGCTGATGTGTAGGAGGACGAGCGAACCTATGGGGACGAAGGAAGGGACAGTGAAGATGAAAATCAACCACAAACATTTCTTATAACATGCATCATGCAAACACCTTTTAGATATATCAAATGTATATGCATGTTAAAGGTTTTTTGATAATCCTCTTCGTAATTCATTCAGAATATGTTTGGAATATTTTCTGTCACAGCCAGATCTGTTTGTGAGCTGAAGTGTTAATACTTTTTACAAGGTGTGTGTGTGTGTGTGTGTGTGATGGGCTCAGAAGAGTTTTTAAAGGGCAGAAGTTTGCCATCTTCAGCCCAAATCTGAACATACATTTCTGCATAACATTTCTGCATAACAAGTATGTACATAGAAGGACTTCTTCCTCTCTCTCTCTTTTTCTCAGCTTCTGTTGCCAGACATACCAAACATGGACTTTGTTTTTGCATTCAACAGCCAATTTAGCCTTGTACTTGCAGTTTCAGAGCACATGCACAATATACTGTACCCTGCTGTGAAAACAGACTGCTAGTCTAAAACAGATTATACATCACAGGAATAGACAAGGAGATGGTGTTCTCCTCCTAATCACAAAGCATACTATAGGTCTTTAGTGAGATTGCTGTGTTGTCTTAGCCTTTCGCTGTAGAGCTGATTAATTAAGGTGCCCTCAATACACATGAAGACTAGGACTGAAACTACATATTTTAATACTCTATTAACCCATAGATTTTCTTTTTAATTAAAAAGATTAAACTACTAATTATGGAATGTCAATGTGAAAGTTGGTTTTAACAGTTTCCTACAACTTAGGGTGATGCCTACAATTTGCTTGTTACGTCTAATAGTCTAAACCCGGAAAGGCATTCAATTTACAGTGGTGTGAAACGAGCAAAGAAGTTGCATTTGAGAAGCACGAACCATGAACATTTGGGACTTTTGGTCACGCAAGTAGTGCATCTCTAGTGATGGCAGTGTTGGTTGGTAGGCGAGTTTGCTGTTTTGATCCACATTGAAAGATCTCAAAAATTATATGATGGATTGACATTCATGTTTCCTAGAGGTTGAATCCTGATGACTTTAATGAACTCCTCACCTTTTGCTAAAAATCCCATCATGATCTTTGCTGTTGGTTTTTCTTCCTGTTCTTGTCTCTCACTTGTCCCCTTTGGTTGGATGTGACTGCAGGACAGACAGCTATGTCAGAGAAGAATTAGCAGATGCTTTATTAAAATTTCTAAACACTTAAAGCAGAGAAAATTAAAATGATATTGAGAGAAAAACATATGTGTGAGCGGAGTGCCTAGAAGAGACAATGAAAGAAGTTAAGATGCAGACAGTGTAAGAATTGGGCTGTCTAGGTGGGTAATAGCAAACGGGGATGGAGGGATTATAGCCCTTTTTTTAAACCTCTAGCTAAAGCAGGTAAGAGCCTTTTTCTGTCTCTCTGGTTAAAGGCATCTGAATTGTACAGCCTCT